TTGTAATGAAAACACTTACTGAAAAGAAAGGTTCGTTTTCAAATGGCATTATAAATGCCTGTTTTCATGCTTAAACCCGATCTTTAAGCCTGGGGATTGCGTTTAAGCATAAAACAGACTTAAGCATGAAAAATAATAACTAAATGTGAATATTTTTATATACAAAAGTATTTACCCAAACAAGCGTGTGTGTGTGTGTGTGTGTGTGTGTGTGTGTGTGTGTGTGTGTGTGTGTGTGTGTGTGTGTGTGTGTGTGTGTGTGTGTGTGTGTGTGTGAAACAGGTTTTGTTTAACGATACTTACAGGGACTGTCTGCCTAACTTTTCATGAACTTTTTCCAACTTCCGACCAAGTTATGTCAGAATTAAAATTGCTAAACTTGACAATCTTCATTTTTCTTTTTCTTTTCGACTGTTGTTTGTTTAAATACTCTCACACACACACGCACAGCACAGCACACACACACACGCAGATAGATAGATAGATAGATAGATAGATAGATAGATAGATAGATAGATAGATATTAACGGACTCAGATAAATAGATAGGGAGAAAGAGAAAAGAGAAAGAGAAAGAAAAAGAGAATGAGAGAGAGAGAGAGAGACGTGATAAAATATGAGCAAGGGGAAGAGAGTAAATGAATAATGCTGGTGGCCACAAAAACCATATCCAAGTCCAAGATAGATAGATAGATAGATAGATAGATAGATAGATAGAAAAGCACAGGACATGATAAATAGATAGCTAGATAAATAGATATTTTTTAAGGAATTAATGTATTTTATTTTTAATCTGACATTATTAATTTTAGCTCTAAACGTTATTCCTGTGGATGCACGTGTTTGAGTAGAGGCTCTGTTTTGTTTAAACAGTGTTAATTATGTGTACCGGCCTGCGCATAGAAATGTTGATTTGTGATCATTTGGTTAGATTTGGGGAAGTCGGTTGATCACCTACTTTTCAGCACACTATCTAATTGCAATCTCAGAAGTATATTTTGACATACCTTAACCCTCCTCATTGCAAGAGCAACGAAAAGTATGTTATTAAAATAAGATTATTTATTTACTTGAAATGCAGTGCTTTTACTCATGACAAAATTAAAATCTATAATTCAACAGCAATTCATTAAAGCTTGCTGATATCGGTAAAGTCATTTCAACGCAAACTTATAGACCCCCCCGCCACACACACACACACACACACACACACACACACGCCAGCTCTGCAGACAAGCTTTTCTTCCCGCAAGGTGCGAACTGATCCGCAAACTTGTCTCTGAGTTAATAATTTATACATCGAAATTGAGGTGAACCAAATTTACAATTTTCACTCCACAACGAAATTAAATTCTGTTCCATTCGAAAAAGAAATAATGTCGATTCTTGAAGAATGGAGCTGCAGGATTTTATAAACGTGAAAACTGGTATATCACTGGCAGGGAACGAAGTCAAATGTATTAAAATTATCCATACAATGGAAATTATGATAGCAATACGCAAAATAGTGTATTATTAAGAGTGAATCTATTTTCGAGAATCAGTACATGGAATTAATAAGTACTAAACAATTCAAATACCTCAGCATATTGATCAGTTATAATAAATTTAATATAGGAGAAGAGGAAATTTAACATAGAACAGGCTACGCTAGAGATCGTCTCGCCCAACTGCTACAAGATCTAAACATTAATCTGTATACTCGAATTATATTCTTAAATAGACTCGTCAGATTGAGATTTTCATATGGATGCTATGCGTGGCGCCAAACCTGTTTAAAAATATCTAAACTGTCAGCTTTTTTTTAAAGATCAATGCTTAAAAATGGCTTTGAGAGATTGACGTCTGGTGTCTTGACAAAGGCCACCCTTTTTTTAACATTATAGACTAGCACTACGGAATCACAAAGAACTGTACCAAATAACAGAAACCACGTCACTTGAGAAGCACCAACAGAAGCAACTACTAAAATGGACAGCACATACAACTCGATGAGAAAATAATGACAAAATGAAGATGTTGATATTCCACACTACTTCAAACAAACGGTTAGGAAGGAAACCACTATCAATATTAGAAAGAACGATAATAGCTACTGGGCATGAGAAGCCTGATTTCATGAAAAATTGTTTTAAGAGAAACATTTTATAAATTTCAAACGAAAGTCGTATTAACTGCTTGGTTAATGAATTCTAAATGTTTTCTTGTAAGGAAACGGTTTTATTGTCACTATTTTTACCATATGTTTACAAAAACACACATAGTTTTTTTTATTTAGATTTAGCTGCATTATCGATTACAAGATCCTTGTACAACTCTTGTTCACAGCATCTTTCCATCGATGCGTACCGTGTGCTATTCTTTCTGTCGTGAGCAATGGGAGATTTGTGTCCCTTTTAATTTGGCCTTTTCAACGTCTGCTTGGTCTTGGAGCGATAAAATCTCTTTTAACTGTTTGAACCATTCACACACAACAGTTAGAGCCATATCTTAATGCATGTACTGCATATACTAGTGTATAATACGATCCGAATATAAGCCGACCCCACAGTTTTATGTCTGAGAAATAGGGGGGGGGCGGATCCCAAACCGTGTGTTTAAGCCGAGGCAGTGTATAAACAACTTATGTTAAAATGGCATGGTTTTGTGAATCCCCTCTTGAGTAGAGAATATCTTTATGAAGTTTTAATACTTTGATAACATTTAAATTTCATTTCTCAATTTTCTTTGTAGTCCCTTTTTTTGTGGTACTTTTTTTTCTTGGGGTCCTTTTTTTTGGGGGGGGTCCCTTTTTTTTCTTGGGGTCCCTTTCTTATTTTTACTTTGAAATATAATTCAGGTCCACATAAGCACAAATAGAAATCCCATGTAACAGAAAATACATTTTATTTACAAAAGCAAGATGTAGACAGTCAGTTATGTGCCATGCGTGACTGACTCGGCAGATTTTTTCCAGCAGTAGGTTGCCATTTCTTGCTGCGGTAGACCAGTTGCCATCCAAAGCTACAGAACCCGGTCTTTCCTTCTATTTACTCATAGCTGGGGGGAGAAGAAGAGGATTCATACCTTTCCCAAGGGTATTACCACGTAATAAACAATAATTAAAACTGGAATTCGAACTCAGCTCCCCGATTCCTCAATTCGAGCCTCTACACATTACTCCACCGTGTCTCCAGAAAACATAGCAGAAAATATAAATCCTGACTAAAGATGACACTGCTTCTGGTGTCTCCAGGCCCATTTAAAATATTTCTTAAGCCCATATTTAGATCTAAGGGCCCCCGTTAAAAATCAGGGATTTAGAATATAGTTCTTGTTTCACAATTCTATTACGCAATGATTTTTTTTTTTTTTTTTGCCTTTTCTTGGTTTAGAAAGCTTGAAAGGATATCTAGAATGTTTGGCTACAGTAGAGTATCAAGTTTTCGACTTCCGGAACAAATCAACGATAACGGAGCATCGGTATAGCTAAAAATCGATTGGCATATTTAATAAATGAAAATTAATTAAGAAACCAGCCACTCACATGCTGGGAGAAGTGAAAGCATAAATAAAGGCTGAGAGTACAAAAAATATTGCGTAAAATGCTTCTAAAATCTAAGCAAAAGTTTTTCATTGTGAAGCAATCACTCCATATAGTTTAGCGCTTTTTTTACACAGATGTTAAAGTTGGTGAAAATCGGCAAAATATTGACTTCGAATATAAGCCTACTTATACTTTTATCGCTTTTTCTCTCACTCAAATTGTTTCTTCATATAAAAAAAATACATTGTTACTCATATGCGTGTGTGCCTGTGCCTGTGTGTGTTTATACGCGTATATTTGGATTAATTTAAATGTGTCATTATTTGTCGTTATGTATATACAGTGTAACCCGTATGTAAGAGACCTGGATATAAGAGAAACCCGGATATAAGAGAGATTTTCTCTGGTCATAAATTAGAACCTGTGTTAATGTATATATAATAGACCAAACCCGGATATAAGAGAAACCCGGATATAAGAGACTTCTCCGGTCCCGACAACTCTCTTATATCCGGGTTACACTGTATATATATATATATATATATATATATATATATATATATATAAAGAGAGAGAGAGAGAGAGAGGAAAGTATAATAATTTCAGAAAAACTTTTTTGCAATTTGTCGTACTATTTTTCTAAATACTGTTGATATATAAAATTATACATCATAATATCATATATATATATATACATATATATATATATATATATATATATAATTGAATTATACGTAGTCAAATTTATACACTTATAATGATAGATAAGTACAAAGTTATACCCTGAAATAAAGAGATAGATAATAAACAAGCTGAGATAGATAGATAGATAGATAGATAGATAGATAGATAGATAGATAGATAGATAATAATGAACAAATCCGAGATTGGTAGATACGTAGGTACATAGACAGATATATAGATAGATAGATATGGACAGGCGGATATAGTTGAAAATAAAGTTGAAATGTAAAATGTGATGGCATAGATTATATTTTAATATTTGGTAAAATCTTTGAGCAGACGATAATAAACAATGAAGTGGAATTGATGACCTTAAGAAGGGAAATTTTTCTCTTCGGATGATGACTTAAAGCGATTCTATTAAATCACGCCCTAACAAAATAAAGTAAACCTTATCATCATTAATATCTGTTTTTTTTTTGGGGGGGGGGTATCTATTATTTATTTTTTTCTCATTGTTACGATTTGTAATAGTAAAACCATTATATTGTGCCAGTTCAGTTCGATAGTGTGAAAAATGGTCAGATGACGATTATTTTTTCTGTTCTTGTTTGGAAATTATATCATTGAAGCTAAAAGCGTTTGTGATTGGAATGGTCTGAAGAGACTCGATTTGCCGGATGTGTTTGCTGCGAATGCGTGGGCGGTATTAAGATATTGATTTCTTTGAATATGACTTTTGTGGCCACCAGCATTATTCATTTACTCTCTTCCCTTGCTCATATTTTATCATGTCTCTCTCTCTCTCTCTCTCTCTCTCTCTCTTTCTCTTTCTCTTTCTTCCTATCTATTTATCTGAGTCCGTTAATATCTATCTATCTATCTATCTATCTATCTATCTATCTATCTATCTATCTATCTATCTCAGATTTGTTCATTATCTACTATCCAGCTATCTTCAGTTCACCTATCTATCTATCTATCTATCTATCTATCTATCTATCTATCTATCTATCTTGGACTTGGATATGGCTTTTGTGGCCACCAGCATTATTCATTTACTCTCTTCCCCTTGCTCATATTTTATCACGTCTCTCTCTCTCTCTCTCTCTCTCTCTCTCTCATTCTCTTTTTCTTTCTCTTTCTCTTTCTTCCTATCTATTTATCTGAGTCCGTTAATATCTATCTATCTATCTATCTATCTATCTTTCTATCTATCTATCTATCTATCTATCTATGTGTGTATGTGTGCTGTGCGTGTGTGGGTGTGAGAGTATTTAAACAAACAACAGTCGAAAAGAAAAAGAAAAATGAACTATCTTGGACTTGTTCACTATCTATTTATCCAGCTATCTCTCTTCTGTTCATGTCTGTCTAGCTATCTACCTCCCTACCTACCTATCTATCTATATATCTATATATATATATCTATCTCGTACACAACTTGCCTTTCTTTCTGTCTTTCTTATCTTTATCTTCTTTCTTTTCTATTTCCGCTTTTGTTTCTCATGATTACATTTTATTTTAATCTTGCATTTCTTAATTTTTCCTTTTTTCTCCTTTCTTTCTTATTTATATTGTCTTTTTCTTTTTTCATATGTCCTGTGAATGTCTAATTTTCCAAGCCTTTCTCTCTCATTTTGTATCTCATTTTTATTCTGAGTATAAGTGTCGTTTTCTGTGAGCGTCAAATTCTCCAAGCGCTACTTCATAGACATAAATTTACACTATTTAAAAAAAACAGGACCTCTACTCAAACACGTGTATCCTCTAAATATAACGTCGAAACTAATAATAAGAATTAGTATTGTATATGCATCTGTGTGTGTGTGCGTCTGTTTGCGTGTATGTTGGACAATTTATATATATATACACTTTCGCCGGAAACAACGAAAACTGTTCGTAATATCTATCTATCTATCTATCTATCTATCTATATATATATATATATATATATATATATATATATATATCTTTACGAAATAACCTTCGTTGGTCTTTAACCGAAATTGTTATTCAAATACTTCCTATATATATATATATATATATATATATATATAAGAAATGGACAAGGTCCGACAATTTATTTATTAAAGACATTTTTTATGTTTAACGTTGATTTTTATAGATAAAGTTTTTAAGAAAATGCTCTGTTTAAATAAACAATATTTTCTATAAAATTTACCGGACTGAATGTCCGGTAAATTTTCATTTAATCCTGTCATCATAACGAATATTTTCTTAAAATTTCTTGTATCTATAAAATAACAAATATTAAACATAAAAAAAATGTCTTTTATAAATATATATATATATATATATATATATATATATATATATATATATATATATATATATATTAGGTTGGTGCAAAAATAATGACGTAATAATGTCGTTTTTTGACGTAAAAACGTCAAAAACGACATTATTACGTCATTATTTTTGCACCAACCTAATATATATATATATATGGGGGTATGTGTCTGTGTTTGCGTGTTATTATAAAAAAAGAAATTAAAATTGGCCAATCAAAAACTTATATTTGTTCATTGGAGTCTTCTCTTTGGTTTAAGTTTACAATGTCTAGAATTATCTCAAATTATTTGAAGTCTTTCTTTTTCAGTAGAAGCGAAAAAAAATGGTCAGTATAAACAAAAACTTACGTTAGCCCTAAGAGGCGTGTCACTTCATATATAAAATATTTCTGTGTGAACTGGTTTCCTGTTGATGCTCTGTCTCTCTCTCTCTCTCTCTCTCTCTCTCTCTGTGTGTGTGTGTGTGTGTGTGTGTTTACCATTTTCCAGCACATTGGACTTTCGCGTGCAATAATCTTACTGCTGTGAATCTGATTGCTGAATACCGAGAGGTCTATTTCGGTAATGCTGGCATTTCTTTAAATGTCCATTATTTTTTTTTTAAATAACTTAGCTTTCTTTTAATAATTGGCAAAATATGACTTTTTACTAAAAATGTTTTGTTTTAAGAAGAACGTTGTCTTTTAGTATGATGGTAAATTATGATAACTTGACAAAAGGAATATTACCAGTACTATTGGCGATATTTTGGGCAGACAGATTTTAAAAATAGCGAAAATATATGACGTGAAGTGATTCTAGGGATTATGAACTGACCATCTATTCGAATTAAGGAGTCTTTCCCAGTTTTTTTCGTTTGTTTTAAATGTCTATGCTGAGAAATGGTATATGCACAAGCTATATACACTCTAAGAAAATAGAAGATATAAATGTCTTCAGGATTAATGGATTTACTTGGAAATAAATCTTGGTTTTCTCCACTCTCCAAGGTCCATATTAGACATTAGTATATCCATGCTTTACTAAATCCCTAACACAACATAATTGCCAAAAAGGAACTATGACTAAAAATATTTTATATTCAGCACTAGAATATTTATTACAAAATGCTATGCATAAGCATACATATATGAAAAAAGCAAGCGGTCTATGTCGGGAGATTTTTTTTAAGTTTGAAGGATGCCAAGGTGATTAAGGATCCATATATAGATATTTGAGAATACCCTTAAACAGATGCCCTTGAAACGGACTGGGTTATCGGTCTCCACCTGAAAGGTTATTCGCTGCATTTATAAAAACTTGTCCCTAGATTGCACAAATTTGGCCGTGCTGCATGTATCTGTTATACCCTTACCAGACTGGGTGTCATGATGAGTATATTGAACTTTCTATATTTTGACATTTGACAACAACAATGATAATAAGAAGTCCATTCTCTGTAAAACTTCGTCGTTGCTCACATGTTTGGTCCATGGTATCCTCATTATCTTTCTGTGGAACCACATTTGTTGCTCATGTCTCTTCTTCATCTTTGAGGAGATTGTCCAACATTCAATGCCATATAGGAGGATAGACATCACGTGGCAGTTTAACTCTTTTCTTTGTTTCTAACGAATTTTTTCTGTTTCTTAATATTCTGCTTAGCTTTTAAAAGGCATCTTTGGTTATCTCAATGCACCTTCGGATTTTGTACTTTCCATCCTCTATTAGAACACTTACCAGATATTTAATTTTTTGAACTTGTTTCATTTTGACATCTCAAATTTGCAATTTGAATTTTGGGCTCAGGCTGGCGCTACAACATCAAAAAAGAGCTTTAGCAAATAGCAAAATCCACATCACTTGAAAACTTCCAACAACAACAACAAAAGAAAATGGCTAACGTATATAGAAGGGAAAATGATGATATAATATGATAGATAATGACTTTCCATTCTACCTGAAAAAAAATGCTAGCAAGGAAATTCCCATCAATTCTAGAAAGGGTGGTAACAGTTAGTGATCTCGAAGTGAGTCTAACTTCCTTTTAAGAAAAAGATTTTATAAATTTCAACCGACAGTAATGCTGTTCGGTCAAGGGATGCCGAATGTTTACTGCATGTTTCCATCCAACAAACATTGTGCTAATTTTACCATTTATCATTAGTTTTACCATTGCATTACCGCTTACTATTAGTTTTACAATTATCATTATCATTTAACATTAGTTTTGCCATTTACCATTAGTTATACAATTCGCATTACCATTTACCATTAGTTTTACCATTTGTTTTGCACTTATCATTACTCTTGAAATGAACGGCAGTACTTAGAAGACATTTATTTTTGCTCCTCTTTAACAACATATTTTTGTCTTTTTTACTTTCTCTTTTTTCGTCGATTCATTCTTCAGGTGTTAAATTAAAACCCAGGAATTGATTCGAAATTTTGAAATAAAAGATTTTTCTCCATAGAATTATTTTAAATGCTTTCCTTTCATTCATCTACAAATCAACTATTCCTGCTTGCATGGAATACTGCTGCCATATATGTCCATCTCGAGGTCGTGGACAAAATCCAGAGACGGATATGCAACGTGGTTGGTCCTGTTCTGGCATCCCGTCTACCGTCAGTATCTCACAGACGTGCTGTGGCTTCCCTCTGTCTTTTCTACAAATACTTTCATGCCAACTGCTCTGACGAACGACTTCCACTGGTTCCCAAATTGCTTGAATTTAAGCGTGCTACTAGGTTGGCATCTCGGTCCCACCCTTTTACTGTCGAAACGTCTAAATGTAGCCGTCTCTTCTACTCCAACAGCTTCTTATTTCGCACTTCCCGTTCGTGGAACTCTCTTCCTATCACTTGCTTCTCTGATAGCTATTAGGTTGGTGCAAAAATAATGACGTAATAATGTCGTTTTTTGACGTTAAAAAATATGTCAAAAAACGACATTATTACGTCATTATTTTTGCACCAACCTAAATATAATCTTCAAATAGTCAAATGTAATGTCAAACGACATCTTCTGACGCCTTGACCTTGATCCGTGTCCTCCTCTTTATCCTTTTTCCCTAAACACACCTCTTTACTCTTACTCTCACTCTCTGTAACTCCTTGCATGCTAGTGGCACCCCCGCCTTGCTTGGGGTGATTTGCTTAATATATATATATATATATATATATATATATATATATTTAAAGTTGAAGATCAAATGTAGATCAGATATGGATTGGAAATCCAACAAAATGATAAAATAAAATAAAGAACAAGTAGGAAATGTGTCTCAATCTAACATGTTTCACTTTTATTAAAGCTTCGCCAGAGATCGAGATAGAAATGAAAAAAGCAAAGAGGTACAGATTACTGCTATATTATGATTTTGATTAGATCTTATTGGTCAAATAGATGCCATGTGTATTAACGCAATATATAATATATAAAATATATATAAGAAAAAATTTGGACGTTAAAGTGTGTAAAAATGTATGAGTGTGTATGTAAAGAAACTCTTGTTTGTTTAGGTTTATGTTGGACGGTAACGTTAATTCATGTAAGCGTATATGTGTGTATGTGTGTGTGTGCGTGTGCGTGTGTGTGTGTGTAAGAGGAATGTCTATAGATTTCATCCTCATATATGTCGGTAAAATGTAGCGAAATGTTGCAATAATTTTGTATTTGGTTGGATTTTTATATTGCCATATATGTGTATGCATGTGTGGGTAATGTCTGCTGTCATCACCTCTGTGTGTGTCGGTGAAACGCAGCATTATATTGTAATGACCATGTTTTGGTTGGGCTTTTCATTAAAGCATTTTTCATGCGTATTTTTTAAATGGATTTGTATGTTTTCATTATTTTATAAACATAGACATAAGTTAAATTCATGAATAATGGATCTGTAGAAAAATGGTGATGTGATGCCATGTTTTTAACGAGTGTTTATAGTCG